TGTGTGCTGAATGAAATGTTATGTGTGAAAGGGTCCAGAAGTTTAAACTGATTCTTTTAATCAAATCAGTGAGAATTCATAGCTATGTTGCATAAAAACAATATCAAACAAACAATAATAGCTCTACTCACTATAAAGTTTCACTTTAGATCATACTCTCACATGTGTAAATGCAGATTCAGTGCATACTATTTGTAAATTAGAGCTGTCTTTTCCTATTTTGGATTTGCAATATTGTTATAGTATTGTTTTTCAAGTTCACTAACACTACTGATACTACCCTTCAAACACTAAACTGTCTCTTTATGGCTCTTTATGGTCTCTTGACACTTGTGTCACTTCCAAGTTATTTGTAAAGCAAATGATTTACAGTCGGCACACTGACAGATAAATCATATGTGAAACCATGTCAAGAGCCCTATCAGAATAGAAAGCTAAAATACATGAGTCAAATGCCATTTGGGTTAAAGAGGACAAAATGTGGGATCACTTATTTGAATAGATATATTTATCAGCAATTTGGCTTCAAGTTTATGTCAATATTACATAAAACAAAGTCCTATTATTTTTGTCACTATAATGTTACTTTTTAATTGATGCCTATTTGTCAAGGAATTCAGCATGAAATAGAAAGTTTTATGTGACAAAGAAATAGTATTTCACAAATTAAATATTTTAGCTTTTCTGTGTCAAAAACAACACAGAAATGTGAACTAGAATAAATAAATACATAAAACGCAGAAAGTCAATTGTTTATTTCACTTTCCTGGTTTACATTTTTTACATTCTATGTTTATATACTTTAGTTAATTATTATATTATATTATATTATATTATATTAATCAAACGGATATCTTGCCCTGAACATTGTCCCTTTAAAGGAGGCGGTGCAGTTTCGCACTCTGGGTGGGAAAGATGGGCGGGGCTAACGAGATTTGACTGACAGCTGAGCTCTGGAACGTCCAAAATCGTAGCGCCTGGGCGCTCCAAAGCAGCCAGTAAGAGCCAGAGTTCGGCCGTCAATCATTTTCCGAGCACCAATCGGAAAGCAAAACAAGGGAATCTTTATCACCCCCGATGTATCCAACGTGGGGCGAAAGAACGTCTGGATAAAAAGAAAGTAAAGTCCGGGAGGGGGGAAAACAAGCGGTTGAAACGGACAGAAGTGCGAGGTGAATTAGTGAATTATCGGAGTTTTCGGACCGTACAACGAGATCAAGATAAAAGCTTCCCAGTTCCTTTAAACCGCGCTCAGGGTTGCTGGAGAGAGAGCGAGAGAAGGAACAAACGCGAGCCGCAAAGTTCACAACAGTCGGACGGCTTTACGGGAACTGTTTTGCTTCAAAAGTGGTTTATTATTATTAATTAATCTGATCCAAACGCCTGCATTCGCCGTTCGGAAACTTTATATCAAGTCCGTGAAGAAGCGAGAGCCCCAAACTTTTTTTTTAGGAGTGCGATTTTTCCTGAGGAAAAGTTTCTTTTTTCTTTCAACACGCTCGTATGGAGTTAATGGACACGATCTACTATGTTTTTACTTTTCATAATCACGAATCACTTGGGATCAGCACATTATAAAAACTTCAGAAACACCGCTGACGATTTAAACTCTTCGAACTACATTTGATCCAGTGGATCTCTCTTGCCAAAACAAAGCGCCTGTCTATCTCCCATCCAGACCCCCTTTTCAACCTTTTAAGGACAACTGCATTTAGTTTTGGCTTCTGGACAAGTCTCTTGTATTTCCTCGTCGTGATTCACCTTTGATTTACTTAACGTACGTGGTGGAGCAGGGGAGTTCAAATTTTTACTGTGGACCGTTTTCAAGTGCAGGACTGATGCATTGGCCAAAAACAACGCAGTATAATTTGATGTTACCGTTGGGTAAACAAACAACTTAATGAAGGCGAATTACTCGGACTCTGAGAAACTCAATAGGTTCGAGCTGTCCGTCTGTGGATGAGAGAGATCAGTCGTTAAGCGCTGAGACAACTGGATACAAAATGGCGGCGTGGCTGGGACAGATGGGATCACTTTCATATCATGTGTTTTATTGGCTTTTGACACTGGGACTGTTAATCAATTATTGCGCACCGTGTCCTCAAACCTGTACGTGTACGCTTGATACGACCGACTGCAGTCATTTAGACATTACTGATGTCCCTCAAGACTTGCCTAAGAGCACGGTGCATCTGTAAGTACACAAAACTGTCCAGCCCGAACGAAATATCATTTAAAACAGTATTCTCTAAAAAATAACATGCTTTAAGTTCTTTAACACTCGTAACTAAAGTTGTCCAGGGAAGAAAATGACTCAAAAGTCACAGAATAACAAGTGGCATGTCCTATATAACGCTTTACACTTATTTAAAATTACTTTAAATTACTGACAAAAGTGTCTCTTTCCATTAAAATCATGAAAGGGTATTGGTTATAAGTAGTCTCAGGCCTGGCTGTGACCTGCTGGGTTATGACATGCTAGTTACTGTCATAAGTTTGGAAACTCTGACAGACAGTTTTAAGAGGCCTGCTGATATGAGTCAAAGTAATGAAACAATGATCACAATCACTTGTTTATTTGCTGGAAGGTAATTTTGGTCCTTGAAATCCCATATTTATTAATATTGTTAGACTAGAGTGCTAAAAAAAGCAAAGGATGAACCTCGTAATAATTAAAAAATCTCTTAATGGTTGTATTCAGAGTTTATTTTATATTGAAATTTATATTGAAACCTATTTTACTTATAAGTATTCTACAGCTCTGAGAGGCATCACCTTCACCCTTTTCCACAGGACTTTTTCATAAACTGGCCATAATAATGCAGTTTAGTGGTTTTGACATTATATTTGGTCTGGTTTATAGATTATGACTTTATAAGTGCTCTATACTAAGATGGTAGATCTAGTTAGTCTCGTACAAACTGAGAACAGTGGCAGTTGTTATTTTTATGGTTATCTGACATTTTTATAAACTCCCCGATATATAGGCAATTTTTTAAGATTAACATCACACAGACATCACACACAAAAAGTATAAAGCCATTTTAATAACCGTATTTTCTTAACATTTCTCCATGACATCACTTTTATAGATGTCTTTTTGGGCGTTAGGTGTTAATGTAATGTATCTGTGTGGCCTAGACAAAGTTTCTAAGGTGTTATCTGCCTGTGTGTTCAAGATCACAATCATCATTTTCAAAGGGAACCGTTTTACTGCCCAGTATTATCTTTAACACCTTTACTGCATGTTTCATCACTGCTAAGATACCTGTTTTGTCTGTTAATTTCACAAAAGCAGCTCCCTTACTGTTCTTGTCAGGTTTAAAAGATGGTTATCACGCACAAGTTTCAACATGGAAGCGTCAACTGAAGTCATGAGCTATCTGTTGTGCATTTTATATCACCCGATTCGCCAAATGACCTGGTCATTTGGTTCTTCGTTGGGCTTTATTTGAAATATATAAAGACACAAACCCAGAGATAACTTTTTAAAGATGAGAAGCTTATTAGTTGTAACCGAGGGTGGCTGACATAATCGTTCTTATAGGACTGTGAAACATTCATTACACATGATATCAGGCCTTAGATGGGAATGATTGGGCAGGTAGCTCTGTTGGTGTTCTGCCTCAAGGACTGTCTAACCTACTGCTGAGTAATCTGACCTGGTCTGCCTGAGTGCTTTAGTCTGTGGCCCTTGACTATACCATTTAAAATCATATAGTAATTTTAGTGGGAAGCTAATGTGATGTATTTCAGGATATTCAGCTAAATCTGGGAGATTGGACTTGATTATTGGATTGGATGGTGAAAAGTGGTCTCTGTATGACAGGTGGTTGGAGAAAATGGGTTGAAATAAGAGGGTGTGTTTACATCAGCGAAAAAGTAAAGTAGAATAAATCATTAACAAAAAGATCAGGAGTGTGTATTAAGAAAGTAAATGGGCACAAATTCTGTTTCATGTTGACTGTGTTTCTAGCTACCGATCAAATTCAAATGCAGGAAAATCGAGGCCATGTTTGTCACAGATTAAGCATGAAGCAGCAATAAATAATTGATTTATTCCATATTACACTGTTAAATTGGTATATTAAATCATTTAAAGTGTCTTGTTTCAAACTAGTATTAGAAGCGGTTAAAATGCTTTGACAGTGCTTTTATTGATAGGGTGCAACCGCCCAACAGGTGATATACATTTCCTTCTGACTTTCCTTATATATGGTCTTTAAAGCGTGACCGTTTTCAAACCTCATTGACAGCAACAGCATTAACTCAAAACAACTGGCTCCTTGTTCTTAACCAGTGGCTCTTTATCTCTCAAAAAGGCAACTGTGGTCTATCATAATGCTGATTATTTATCATCATTAATCCCTACAACTATCCCTATTCACATGTCGCTATTCATGTTCAGCACTTTTATACGCCTCTCTGGCAATTGACAAGTAGTCAAAGCGCTAGTGTTTGTGACATCTAAATCTGTTGCTTGTGTAACCACGCCGCACAAACTCGCCCAAGGAACGTCAAACCACGTTTTAGCATTTCCATGAACTAAAAGGCATGTTCCAGCATCTTAATGTCCCTTTATCGTCTGCTTTCATGTTGACAGATCCAACAGAAGCTGGATTTGAAAGTTGTAGGCCAGAGATATTTTTTGGGTTGTCCTTCTGCAATATATCAATCAAGAGTAGAAAAAGCTTTGGTTGGAAAAACCCTGTGGACATGGCCTGAGTATAAAATCAAGCCTTAATACCTTCCAGTTGTCCAAATAGTTTCTCCATACTGCCCATTTTTTCTTTCTTTCATTTAATGGTTCCCCCATGGCTCACAGAGACCTTGATGGCAAGTAGGAAGCAGCGAGGTGTTGGCATCGTCAACTCGCACATGGTCCTTTGTGGATTCAAGTTAACATTGAGATATGGACCTTAAGACTCTATTAAGATAAAGACTGATGGAGTTATTCATGGTGAGGGTTAGAGGAATAGTTCGCCCAAAAATCGTTCTTTCTTTTGCGGAACACAAGAAAGTATTTTGAAGAATGTTGGTAACCAAACAGTTTTGGTGACCATTGACTTGCATTGTATGGACACTGAGACATTTCTCAAAATATCTTATTTTCATTTTCGGGTGAACTATCCCTTGAACCTGAGTGCGGAGGAGACGTTGAATTAACTGATGAATGTTATGAGTAATCTTATTGGCTTCACTGATGCATGACACAGTCCTCCAAACTCTCCATCTGCGAATTTGAAAAAGTTGTCTGAATTCCTTGTGAATTAAATTATTTTCTTTGAAAAATGTTTCCTTCATCAGATCCATCTGAAGTATAGAAAAATTAAGCAATTTTGGTTTTGATTATGGAAATGTATGCGTGTCTTTGACGTCTTGCATTCATCAGGACTGACCCTTTAAAATTCAGGATAAATGAGATCCGTTTTTGATAAATAGCTATTTGATTTTGTCTGTTTATTCAGAGTGCTTTGAAGACTGAGGTGATGGAAACAGTTTGGCTTGATGTAACAAGCTGTATGAGTCTTAGGGTGTGTTCACACTTGTAGTTCGGTTCGTTTGGGTAATTTGGTCCGGACCAAAAAAGAAAATGATACATTTGGTCCTGGTCCGCTTAGCTTTCACTTTGGCATTTTTGACAGCGAACCTAAAGATACCGAACCTAAATTCATGGTGATACGTTCACAACCTGATTGGTCGGGTTGAATGACGTATGTTTCGTGATGGAACTTACCAAACACCCCAAACAAAAGGTGTGTTCGACTTAAAGCGGCGCTGCGGGTGTATGATATCAAAGCACTCATTAACCAAACGGTCTGCTCAGCGCCGCTTTAAGTAGAGATGCACCAATTGCAATTTTCTTGGCAGATTCCGATTTCCGATTTTTTGCTAGTGTGATCTGCCGATACCGATTTTTGCAGATTCCGATTTTCTTTCTAAGAACTATAATTGACAGCATATACAAACAAAAATCTACTTTTCTTCAACGCAAAGTTTTATTTTCATAAAAAAAACACAAGCAAAAAGTCAGTAATAAAATAAGAACAAATAAAAAAAATTGCAAACAACAGCACAAATAAATGCAATAGAATAAAGAGAGCTATGAAACTAAGTTTTTCAGGTTAAGTAAGTTTTATTCAGGTAAGAAATACAACAGAAATGAAAGTAATCAAATGTAAAATAACAAATTCAGTGTTATTTTACATTTGATATTAATTTCTGTAATCTTCATTGTAAAAATTAAATAAAGATTAATGCTTACCATTAAAGTTATAAAACGTATTCAAAGTGACTTTCTTTGTCTTTTGGTCTTTCATTAACATTACAGACAGCAGCAGTAATATTGGACTGCGGTCCCTTTAAGAGTTTATCCACGGACCCAATATAGGGCCTGTTTACACCTGGTCATTTCATGCGTTTTCGCTGATCGGATATCTATCTGATTTGTTAAAACGTTTCCATTTACACTTGGCCACATAAATGTGTCGTCGCAAAACGGATATAAATCCGATCTTCAATTCCCGCGCTATATTTAAATTTAA